GCAGCAGGAGTAGTAGTAGTAGTAGTAGTAGTAGTAGTAGTGGTGGTAGTGGTAGTGGTAGTGGTAGGGGTAGCGGTAGCGGTAGCGGTAGCGGTAGCGGTAGCGGTAGCGGTGGTAGTAGTAGTAGTAGTAGTACTACTACTACTACTACTAGTAGTAGTAGTAGTAATCGTAATCGTAGTCGTAGTAGTAGTAGTAGTAGTAGTAGCAGCCGTCGTGGTGGTGGTGGTGGTGGTGGTAGCAGCAGTAGCAGTGTAACAGAATTCGTGGTGGTGGTGGTAGTTGTGGTTGCAGTAGCATTAGAAGTAAAAGTAGAAGTAAAGCTAGGGTGGTGATCTCTCCAGGCCTTTTCCTCCCAGGGTCCATCAGTGAGGGCGACGAGGAGCTCAGCTCGGACGAGGAGGTGCGACCAGCGCGTGAGAACCGTTTTTCGTTTTGCCATAGGCACGTCGTTTACGGTGCCGATGTTGGCGTGGGGTCCAAGAGTAAGCTTTCGTGTTTTACTGGTTTGAAGCCTTGGGGGTAGTAAACTTTTGTGTTTTGCAGGTCTCACAAGCTTTATTGGGGGTAGTAAACCGACTTGTGCGTCTTCAGCAAGTGCTTCTCAAATCGAGCGTCTACATGGGGAATAGCTGTTTGTGTGGGTTGCCGGTTGCTGAGCTTCGTTGCTCTAGGGCTTCAGTTTTTGTGGAAAGTACCACATTTCGTATTGATTATGTGCATCGGGCAGTGCTTTTGAATCCTGGCGTATACTTGGGGATTCCCAGTACTTTGGCTTTGTTTCTTTGCTTTGTGGCTTCGTTTTTCTGTGGAGAGTTTTACATGTGGTGCTGACGTTGTGTATCGGACCGTGCTTTTGAATCCTGGCGTGTACTTGGGGATTCCCAGAACTTTTCACTTCGATTCTTTGCTCAATGGCTTTAGTTATTGTGGAGAGTGTCGCACTGCGTATCGATTTTGCACATCGGGCCATCCCCTAGCGTGTACTTGGGCGAGTCTATACGTCAACTTTTTGCGGGTGGGTCGACTTCACACGATGCGTGTACACGGGGGTGGGTCGACTTCACGCGGGATGGGTCGACCTAACCCCGGCGCCTGTGCTTGAATCTGAGGATTCCAACAAGTAAGGCATCATGTCCTATCTCCCCTCGAGGCTTTCGAAACGACTGCATGCAAAACACCTGAGTCGAACAACTGCAAAGGGCCAAGATACTGCCATAGGTTCCCGTATCCGGAGTTCTCCGTAATGTACGATCCGGACACCACACCAGCTACAGGCTCCAAGCCAGCCCTCAGCCCATCTTTGTTGCTGTAGGAACCGTTGAGACATCATACAAGTCTATGCGACAAGCGACGATTGCAACAGCGTTAAAGGGCTACCCAAAAAGTTTGGGAATGTTTGGGACAGGTTTTACGGCTTTGTTAGTTGAACCTTGCCCTCCGCAGGTAGAGCAGACATCCATCGCTCGACCATCTGGCTTTTCGAGCCGCCCCTCCCTCTTCGCCAGAAGGCAAAACCAAGAGGAGCCTTTGAAGAAGACCGCCAGGAGGGACAGGGCAACGGAGCTGGCGTTCCTGTCTACATGTTTCGTGCAGCTCAACCGACCTTAAACCGTGTGACCAAGAAGCCCAAACCATGGATCACCACCTGCGATCGTGAGAATACTTGTTATTCTTATTTATAGTAACATCAAACTATTACTGCTAACACGGTTCTTCTTCTTGTCATCATTGCGACTATTGATGTTGTTACGCTCTTTGTTATTTTCTGAGCTTGTTATTATTGTTGCAATGAAAGGTAATAAGTAACATCATCGTCGTTATGATTACTGATTTATTGTTGCTATTGTTATTGTAGCCCTACTGGAGTCGTGAACTTCTGAACCCTCCAGGGCCTCGTTCCTGCAGCTGAACAAAGACTACGCAGTGGAGCGGCTACGAGAAGAGTCGATTAACGAGTTCGGCAACGAGAACATCGAGCTGCAAGAGCAAGATAGGCAACTAGTCGAGATGGCTGCCTTAGTCTACTGTTTTATCTCTCAACTTTATTCGGTTTATCATGATGACGATTAAATATACAGGCAACGTAATTCGTTTTAACGGGTTGTAGAAGCTGTTGTTTGTTTGCAAGCCTCCCTCCTCTCCCCGAAGGCATGAGAGGCGGTGGCCCATGCTCTTAAAAGTGGTCCGGAGCCCCCACTCCGAAACCGTGAGCCTCGCCATAACATGTCTAAACGCGATCTGGATTGCTTTGGACCTCGAGTTCAACGATGCTCTAACTGTGCTGGAGGCGGATCCACTCTTCGTTGTTGTTGAGCTTCTGTTCCTGGCCTATTTTGGCGGAGAGGTAGTGATGAGGTATCTGTCCTATGCGTCAACCAGGCGGGCCTGTCGTGACCGCTGGTTCCTTTTTGATGTCATTCTGGTCACGCTCATGATCGTCGAGATATGGCTCATTCCGATGATAGGCTTAACAAGTGGAGACTCCTCGGATTCCGGTGGTGGTATCGGAGATGCCTCTTTCCTTCGCATGCTGCGGCTGGTGCGGATCACGCGCGTAATTCGCGTCGCAAGCTACATGCCGGAAGTGATGATCATCATCAAGGGACTGACAGTGGCCTCACGGTCGGTCTTCTTCACTTTCGTGCTCCTCTTGCTCATTACCTACATCTTCAGCATTGCTTTCAGGCAGCTCGCGCAAGATAACCTCTTCTTGGAATCAGAGCTGTTTCCGTCGGTTCCAGCCACGGTGCTGACATTGATCGTGCAGTGCGTGATGCCAGACCAGGAAGCCTTCTTCCAGAAGGTCTCTCAGAATGGAGGCTGGTTTATGGGCATGTTGGTGGTGGTGTTCATCTTGGTCTCGTCACTCATCGTGATCAACATGCTGATCGGTGTCTTAGTGGAGGCCGTTCAGACCGTTTCGGATGTGGAGCACGAAGCTATTCAGATTGCCTTCGCGAAGCTCGGCGGCACGATGTATGTGGTTGCCTTCATGTTAGTAGTACCTCGTTTACGGGCCCTTAAAAGTGAGGGACCCTGCCTGAAAACTGCAGGAAGTTATGTATGAAATGTGCGACATGGTTTCTTATGCGTAACCGCACCAAACCCATGATTTTCACTGAGAGAAGGTAAACGAAGCTTGGTCAGAGTCTCGCCAGGAAGCGTCTCCTCCGTGAAATACTTTGCGACGAGGCCACGCAGGCCGAGGGCAGCATCTTGACACAGGAGGACGCTCGGAAGAATCATGTATCCGATTCTGTGGTGGGCTTAGGCCATTTTCGGTTGCAGCCATCGTCCTTAGTGCATAGGCCTTCTTTGACCATCATCTGATATTGCTGCCACTGTGTGTAAGTTCGTAACAGACGGATGCCAAGCTAAAGAAAGGGAGTATGTTGTGGTCTACAGGGCAAAAGCCTGGAGTAAGCTCCGAGGCTCCTGGCTTTTGGTGGCATCTTCACAGTTTTCGCACTAGAGCTTCATTATTCCGAGTTTGCACGTCTGTGCTTGTAGCTGAGCAGCAACAGGAGGAGCAGGCGCGAGGAAACTGCACACTTACTAACGGGAACAACAAGGTCAAGAGCAGCAGAAGAAGACGAAGAAGGAGTACAAAAGAGTAGTAGTCGTCGTCGTCGTCGTGGTCGTAGTCGTGATAGTAGATGGCTCCTGTAGTAGCAACAGCAGGTGGAGCAGGAGAAGAAGAACAGTAGCACAGGCATGAATGAATAGCAAAGGCGACATTAACTTAATCATCTGGCTGTTTCTTCGAACGTCGGCGAGCAACAGCATCTCACAGCTTTTTTTATGCCACATTGGGCAACATATGTATGCAACCAGGGTGCTTCTGAAGACGATTGTCTAGCGCTTCACCGGCTTACTTTACCCATACGGCTGGCAGCGCCTGCCTCAGCGGCAATGCCAGGGTGAGGGAGCACCTGTGATGTGTTGGGTGCGGTCAAGAGCGGAATTGTTGCTCAACTCCCATGTCACCGCATTTGATCGCCAGGAGTTCTTCAGCATGCTGGAGCGACCGGAGGCGATTAAAGGTTTGGTCCAGCTCGGTGTGGATCATGTGGCCGCCAAGGAGCTGGGTATCTTTTGCCTTGTCCTTCTCTACCAGTGGTCCTCTCAATTGGCAGGGTTGCGAACGTAAGGTAACCGCTCGAAAGTTGGATGGCAATCTATGGCGAGGTGAAATCCAGAGCTTTGCTTCTAAGCTCAATCCTTGCCATCAGTCCTGTAGCCTGCACCGGGACTTGAAACAGTCAGTGGTCAATCCACAGCAGCCTGGCGACAAGGTGCAGAGGCACTTGCTCCTAGGTTGTAAACTCAGAGTTATGAGAGATATTGTTGAGTAACTTGAGTATGAAGACGCCTAGCTAAAGTGATACTGCTTATGAGCCCTCAACCTCGTCCCCGGTGTCTTTCCTCACAAGTTCGAGGGTTCAACTGCGAGTCTAATGGACCTCAGTGCACAGTTCCCGAGCCATAGTCGCCACTACGAGTGGTAGGCTCAGTGACCTCGACATGTGATGTGGTGTATATACGGGTCACCTAGAGAGCGCGCTCCAACTGAACGACCAGTGAAGGGTTCCGTGTCGGAGGTTCCTGGTACACAGAGCATTCTGTTTCCCGTTATGGGCCTAACAAAGGCAAACGCATCCTGGGCAAGCCAGGAGTACGGCAAGCTGCTCATGGAAGATGGCGAGCCACTCACATTCGGCGAGTTCCTGGACAGGGTGACGAAACCTAGTGGTGTGCTGACCGCAGGGTCTCTGCTGGGGGTTTTTCGGACTTGCGAATGCCCCTGTCTCTGTGAGGAAAGCATGCTGCTGCTCCGTGGGTCAAACCAGACCACAGTCAAGGACCTCGTCACTCTCAGAAGGTCGGCTGGATGCAGCCCAATCATTCAAGAACCCAAAGGCTATCTTGGGTGGCAGAAATACCGGTTGAGTTAGGACCCTCCTTTCCTGATGCTGATTGTGTTTGTTGCCTCCTGTCATGTCCTGTCCGTTTTTGAGTGGCCGTCTAAACCATTAACCATTCCGGCCTTATCGGAAGTACCGGAGCACGTCGGCAGAGTGTGTGGCAAGAATTCAGTGGAGTGTACAACGATTTGTCATCGTATCAATATCAATCCATCACAAGACCTGCCGGCAAGGTATGTGGGAGACCAGTTCTCACACCTCCACGACATTTTGCTTGAGATGGGTAAGAACCTGTCTCGCCGGCTCGAGCCTTATTAATTCACCCGTGCGAAATCTGAGTCACCGCAGCTGTCCAAGACAGTGTGGCAGAGTTCCCCTTGTCAACGCATGTCCACATCTCGGGCCTCACCCCACCAACTTTTTAGATTTCAAGGATGCGACACTGCTCAAAGGCAGAAAGCCATGCTGCCCGAGTGAAGGTGCACATAGTTCATCATCATTGTAACCTTCGCGATGAGCATGGTCGTGTCATAGTATCGACTTGGCCTTTACCATCCTGATAGTGAGAGCTACAGCACAAATTAGAAAACAGGAAACGTCGTAACAATATGCTTGCATTCTTGTTGGCATCATACGAGCAGTCGCTGCATTTCTCATGGCCGGAGTTTTCAAGCAGTGGATAGAGTAGTGATGCCGAATCGCTGTGGCTGTGGTTCTTGTGGAAAGAACCCACGAACACATGCCTGCATAGGCACATGCGTTCAGCACCCTGAAGCTCGGGGTAGGAGTGTGGTTTCCAGGGTGACAATAATTCAACAAGGTGCAAGTGATATCTGGAGAGGCCAGCGAATCCTGGCTTAGTCCGAGACTTCGAAGCTTGGGGTCCTGTAGGCTTTAAATACTATAGCACCGTATCATTAATAAATATCATGAGTCGTATAACGTGATCTACTATTATGTAACATGTTATAGTTTATCCTACAACCTTAAGTATACCTTAAGTATCTGAATCCCAGCTTCAGCGACTCTCCCTGGCCGCACCCGGGAGGCCGCTGCACAAGCCGAGAAGAAGGCGCTGCAACCAACCGTGGCGGGGTTTCTGCCTTATACGGCTTAGGGCATAAGCACACACACACACAGTTGATATATATGTATATGATATATATACATATATAGATGTATACATATACACACATACATATAGATATGAATGTGTGTGCGTGTGTTGTACTTATATCTATCTATACACCTATATAGATGTATGTCTTTTTTCTTGATTCATTTAGCTCACTTCAGCCTTGAGCCAGGAACAGCAGCTGCTAAAGGAGGCGGTGAAGAAGCAGAGCGAGGATGTGAAGGAAGCCTTAAAGGCGGCGGGTCCGGAATTCGGAGGTTTCAGTTTAGGCCCTGCCTGGGGTCTTTGAGCTGCGGATAATATGGCTCACATATACCGACGGGTCCATTCCGATACAGTCAAACAGCAGACCCCCTTGTCCGCAGCAGTCCAAAGCAGGAGCTGGGCTTTGCTTCCGTGGCAGCATGCTCATACTTACAATATATTTGTGTATAAATAAATGAATAAATAAGTAAATAAACAAACAAATAAATACATAAGTAATATATATATATGATATATATATAATATATATATATATACATACATATGTATACACGTTTCTACACACACACACACACGCACATACACATGCCAAGATGTGCTAACCTTGCTATCACATTCCATCATCATGTCATTCGGCACGGCAGTGCTTCGCACAGCTCCAAGCTGTGTTTGTCGGCCGCTTTGCGATTGGTCAGTTCGTGCCCCACGATTTGACGTTGCCGCTGCATCAGGCGGGCGAGGATGCAGCAGCCATTCAGGCACCACACTGGCGGGTTCAAGTCGGGAGCAAGGTTTTAAGGGCTTGAGGTTTTTGCCTGAATTGTGGGATTTGGGGGGGAGCGAGGAGCACATGGACTGCTGGACGACTAGCTCGTGTTTGGACCTCGCTCTCTACGCCTGGGTGGGGGTGAGCGGGGGCGGGGGGTCCATACCGATGTGTTATGTCCTCCATTTTCAATTTCTGGCTGAAATTCCGCACCGCCGCAAGACGTGTGATACATTGGCATCGTGATGAAGAAGTTGCAGAAGTCGTCGTACTCGCCTGCAGGTGGGAGGAGTAGTGGTAACTAGTAGTAATGGCTGCAACAGCCTTGCAAAGGACTTCAGAAAGGCACGTGAACGAGTTTGAGGCTGAGACCGGAACCGTAGGCCTAAAGCAAAGTGAGAACTGCGCGACGGCTTTGGCACTTTGGGTTCTTCAAGGGCACCGAGTGCGCGCCCCTCCAGATTTCACCTGCTGCCCTGCCTGGGGCGGAAAAACTGATCTTGTGGCATTGCACGCAATGTATAGATCAACTTAGCGAAACAGAAACTCAACTCGAGTGACAGGCACGTCTGCGACCTCGCACGTTTGTCTTCGATTTCTCCTCTGGCAGCCTCGATGCAGGCCCGGGACTTCTCAGTAGCTCAAGGCTTTGGGCCGTTTGTGTTTACGGCGTTTACGGCTAAGTGCGCCTATGGATGACATGACTGCGGTTTTGGTGGATCGGCTCGAAAGATCGACCCAAGATGGCTAAGCGACAAACCATGTAGAATGATCAGTTAGTTGCTAGTTAGGATCGCTTCGATTTTCAGGTTCTGAGGCTTCGAAGCTTGAAACGGGAAAGAGAAGATGAAGATCGTAGTCTTGTGGTCTGCCTGCGTCTACCACCATTTGCTGTTTGTTGTGACTTGTCTCTGCTTATCAGTCCTGCTCCTCTTACCGATAGAGCTTTCTGACTACCATGGTTGCTGCTTGGGACTAGTTGTGGCTGATGGTTGCAACGATTGTTGCAGCCATGGTAGGAGGCTTGTAAACAGGTCCTCTGTTTTAAGTCTGGGGTACCTTTTTGTTCAATAACGCTTGGGGTCCTTATCAGGATCCGTTGATGTCTGTATAAGGGTACATGACATGTTGAGGCACCCCTTTTGTTGGTGATTTTTTTACTTTCCCAGCCAAGCTCCGGAAGTACGCAAAGTTCCGGACAATGCGCGCTACATTAACGATTTGCGAAGGAGTCCCCGGCAGCAAGAACATGAAGAAGCGTTTGGAGGTGCAGAATGCCTTGATGTGTCACTGCATGATAGAAATTACGGTGGACAACACCGAGCAGCCAACAAACGACGGCAGTTTTAATAACGACGTGAGTACCCTGATTTATTCCACGGCGACGGTGAAGACGGTCGTTATAGCGACTGCAATTGCCACAAGAATGAGGATGACGAGGCTTGCGCCGGCGATGGTTATCAGTATGCAGATGGTGTTGGGGATGCTGGCACTAACGAGGATGGTCACGATGTTGATGCTGCTCGAAGTGCTGAAGATGGTGCAACGACGGCAATGACAAGGCTGTGGCGGGGGTGATGTTGTTGATGATGATGCTTTGCTGGTAGAATTGGAAGAATCTGACATGAATATGGTGGTTGAAGCTGCTGCTAGCTACTGTGTAGTCTGACAGTGGTGCCACCGGCAAGACACTAAATGTAGCAACATTGAGTTCGAGTTCTACTATAAATACATTAGGGACCGCACGGTGACAGCATCACACATGGTTCCGACAGTATTCCGACCCATTTATATACAGAGTTGGAGGTTCCGCTCTCAGAGGAGTGTTTGAAGATTTTTAGGTCCTTTTGACTGAAAGTATACAACATTCCATAACTATAGCTTAAGGAACCCTCATTTGGACCCTTAAAGCCTTAAGGGACAATTTTGCGACTTCCTTCCATGGTGTGGGTCAGGAATCCCACAGGCTTAACACAAAGCGTCGCTCGAATCGAACACAGGGGCAAAATATTGCCGCATACAACAGCTGCACCATTTATCAACAAGTGCACCAGAATCAAGGTCAAGTCTGTCACTTGCGAATATTCCGGCCCAGTCTTTCGTGAGCACGATGGGAGCCAGCAGCTTAAACCACGAGCACATGTGGTGAAGGACTTCCAGGATACGGTCTCATTTATCTTGCACTGCGCGACCGAGCATGATGAGGCCGATTTGTTTTGTGACGTTGGAGAGATGCAGTGCATGTTTCCAGAACGTGCACGCACACACACACACAACGAGCTATTTGCTTCTTGCAGGCTGTGGTGCGCATAACATCGCCGGGTGGTGCCGTCATCGACTATGGCTTCGCCTCTGCGCAGACTCTCGCCTGCCACTATGTTTCTCATCATCAATCCGAAGCAACCCCTCCTCACTCTCCTCAGTTTATGTAATGGTGAATTCGACCCGGAACAGAGATCAGGCTCATGCGGCTGCGTCAGCGCGGGCCGACCTGACAAGCTTTCTGGATGGTGATTCAGTGCGTCGGATTCGTACGCATGCGCAGGCTCCGCAAGCGATTCCCAGAGATCCGCATTGGTGTTTTTTTGCTGTTTCCAGCTTCTGTCCATCGCCTGCAGTGCTGGCAGCAATCCAATCGGCCCCATCCGTTTACTTACCCTGTAGGCCAAGGGATACAACGGAAGTGCCATGCACAGTTGCTTTTGGATTTTCGTTGAGCATGAGCCAGTTTGCCTAACCGCCTCGTCACTCACACCCCATACTCAAGCTTAAAGCCCGACAAAGCCGACACCACGACGTGTTTGTCAAAAGCCTACCTTTGGTAAAGACTCTGACTCTCCATGTCGCCAGGCTGAAGCTTACTGCCTGTGTGGACAAGGCTTACATTTTCCGCTGTTATGACTAATGGGTCACTCTTCATGAGTAGAGTCGTTTGGCCCCCGATAGGGCCCCTCACAAAGCTCGAAACTTCCGACTGTGGAGCTTGTGTATTACAGTCGTAACCCGACAGCGGGGAGTTTGCGCTTGAAGGCTTTCCTTGAGCTGACCGAAAATGCCTAAAACCTGGTTGCCCGTGGAACTACACGTGCACAGGCGGAAGATGAGCAGACGATGATTCCGAAGAACATAGACCCACTAGCCGCTATAGTTGCTAAGAGTGCCTCGTCGGATGTGCGGCACGGACTGGCACCAGAGAATCAGCAGGTGGCACGCCCGAATGAATGCTTGAGGCAGCATCTACACAAGCACTTCATGACTGCACCGTGATTCCTTCCCTGCTTAACCTGCTTGCTCTCTTTTTGTTCTTCCTGTTTCGGGAGACGCAGCAGGTAGCTGCATCAGGCGGGTACATGCTCCTTGGCAGCAGCGACTGGACGAAAAGCATGAAAAACTCAGCGGTTTCTTTGACTGCGATACTGTTGCGAATTTGTTCGGAAGCTCATCCCACCCACAGCTCCTTCTGAACATTGTGCGGAGCAATAGGGTCATGATGGCCAATACACACCTGTCGGTGTTCCGAAGTTTCTGGTGGTGTGGGTGACAAGCACGTGCTACTGCTCCTGCATCTGAGAAGGATGAGGATGATCACATGTGTGCGTGCATTATTGGCGGTGGCGGAGATGACCTAGATGATCACGGTGATTGTGCGGATTCGGATGTATGTGAGGGGGTGGTTGCTGCTGTTGGTTATAATGACGGCGCTTCTGCTGATGATTTGGGCGATGGGTGATATAGCCTGCAAGACAGTGACTTTGCCGGCAGCATAACAGCTAAGTTGAGGCTACACGTGCATTTTTCGCGGGTGGCTATTACCAGACGGGTCGTTTGGAAGGCCTTTGCCTTTAACTTTGGTGTTGAGAGTCCCTTCTTTGATCCCGGGCAGTGCCAAGGATGGCTTGCACAGCACCCGCCTTAGTTGTTTCAATTCAGCCTCGAAGGCGTGTCATGTTCTAAATTCACGTCCAGCCGGCTGTTGCGATGCCTGCCAACGAGGGTATGCGTTGGCGGCCTGCAGGATCGTAGCACCTTTAGCAACTGTAGCATCTTATGAGGCTGAGCTGCTCCGCCACCCGAAACCGTGCAAAAACCCTCAACCCACGCAAAAGAACCCAGACACCCAGGCAGAGGTCGGCTAGCCGGTTGCACCTGGGGAGCTAGTTTGGTGGCTCGAGTGGAGAGCAGCTGACAATTTAGGTCCCTGCAGACCTCGACAGCTCAGGCCGACGCCATCGTCGCCACACCTTTCTCGCTCGTGGGCTCTATCGGCCGCTCGCCCCTGAATAAAGCTGCCCCTTCGCCAAGGATCCCCATCTCCGGGAGCTGCCATGTTGGAGCCAAAAGCTTGTCCATAGCAGGAGTCCGCATCAATAAGAAGCAGCATCGGAAGCGCACATTTGACGGTAGTTGTAGTGACATTGTAGTGATTGTATTGAGACTGTAGCAGCTGAGGTGTGCTGGCTGCCCTTCCCAACTTCAACAAAGTCTTGCGGAGGCATCTGCACGTGAATTCGCAGAAGATCGGGCACAGTACTCTCTGAACCGAAGAAACGGAATGAGCAAGTGTTGCACTAGCGGGGATTAGCGGTAGCATGTCTTGAGAGCCAGTGCCAAGCAGGGTTTCAATTGATGCAAAGCAAGCGCGATGTGTAGCCGGCACTGCCCATGCAGGTACGAGGTGGATTGGCTTCAATTTACTGGTGGGCGCTACAAGCGAACCGTAGATCCTTTGCCTCTTGACTTTTTCGCCTGCTCGGGTACATGTCGGGTTTTTCATCCTGCAGTTCCGCATAAGGCAACATTGTAACATTTGTTGTGTTTTCAGCAAATTGCTGCTTGGGGGACAGGCAAAGCACATCAGGGAGGCGCACCGGCTTGACACATCTGGGCAGTACACAACAAGAGCCTCCGCAGTCTTTTTGTATTTCGCTTCTGTTGCATGTTTGCATGGCAGCCTAGCACAGGCTCTTGGCACTACGTCAATGCTAGCTTCCTTCCCTGCTTCAGTTCCCTGTTTCCCCAAACTGTCCAACGAGGTCAGAGCCGACAGAAGAGGGGATCGAGAAGATGAAGCAGGACCAGCTGCCGTGTTCGAATCGCAAGGCTGTGGTGACCGAGTCGAAATGCTGGTCCTTCTGCAGGAGATCAACACAATCCACGATGCCTTCAAAGGGATGGTTCTACAGCAGCGGACGCATCTGGACATGGACGAGGCTTGGGAACCCCATGGTCCACTGTCGCGAACAGCCAATTCGAAGAGCACCACACCCCCCCCCAAAAAAACAAAAAAAAAAGAGAGGAAAGACATGCGTGCTGTGCCCCTTTCAAACTTTCAAACCAGAGCGGACGTCACACTACCACCTACTGTTTATCATCAGGTCCACTACTGTAGGTCTACTATGTAGCTCTCGCTCTGCCTAGTCATCTGTAGTTTTGCTTTTTGTAAGTGAAGAGGCGGCACCATGTGAGGTTGAGCATCCGGTGTGTCTGAAAAACGGACCACACTGGACCAGCAGCACCCTCAAGCACTTAACCCCCGTAAACTTATGCCGTAAGCCTAAATCCGAAAACCATGCCATAATAGGCCGTAACCTTACAACGCCTCCATGCTTGGACGGAAGGTCGCAACAGGAGAAGCCTTCCTTGGTGCCGAGGGGAAGGAGCCCCATAGAAAGTGAGTCTCTTTCGGATCTAATCTTAAGGGTTCAGGAGTCGCGTGTAGGACTTATAGTGCTGCAGGCTCAGGATTTTAAAGTTTAGGGGCCTGACTTTGTGCCTGAGCCTTGGGTGCGCAAATCGCATGAGTTTGGAGTCTTCAGGCACGAGGGCTGATGCTTCGGCGTGAGGCGAGCATGAGGACATGTGCACTGCAGCCCCTCTTGAAAGAAAAAGGGGCCTGACAGGTGACAGACTGAGGCCTTAGCGAGAGATAGAGAGAGAGAGAGAGAGAGAGAGAAACCCAGTAAGTCCTTCATGTCCAGCGAACAGTAGGGCAAGGGGGAATGAACTGTTATCTTTTGCTGTTTGTCACTCAGTGGTTATGCTTCGTACGGTACTGTATGTTTGAACAGAACTTGCCCTAACATATAAAATGAGAGTCGTATAGTCGACATCGCAAATCCCAACGAGGGGGGGACATCCTTCCCTGTCATGTATGTCTAGGTTTACTGTGGTAAGAGGGATGTCTCGCACCTAGACAGGGGGAAAGGATGCGCCGATCCTCATGCATGTTTCCATGGAGAATATATGGTCACCTGTTACGTCATCGTATACTTTAAGGCTGAAGCCAAAAAGGGTGACCAAATATTCGTTTCTCACTCCCCGTGCGCCCAATAAAACATTGGGTGGGCTATTCAGCCCGGGGACGTTAACCCGTCCCCATGCCCAGGAGAGAGAGAGCGAGAGGGGCTAGCCGCAGCAGACAGAGCATGTATGAACAGAGTTCTCGGAAATCTCGGTCCTACTCATGCCTCTTGCAAATATACTATACCTAGAATCACGACTACCCAGCTAGCTGTCATCCACATCACCTACTGATCATCAGCTTTGTGCTGCTGCCTTCCATTGAGCGCCGCATCCAAATATAGACGGGGTTTGGGCACACTGGCGCCGTGCATTCAAAAACGTTCGGAGGTTCCGGAGGGGAGCTTTCAGGAGCTTGCTGCCGAGGGATGCTGCTGAGCCGGAAGTCAATTGCAGGATGAACAAAAACAAGAGGCCGGATGTAAGGCCTATGCCACGGCCTAGAATGCACAAGCCGTGGCAGCCTCTTCAAGAATCGATCGAGAACGAAGCATCGCACGGAGACTTGAGTGGCTTTTTTTGCAAGCCCTCAGGCACACAAGGACGGTGTGAGCCGCTGAGCTTTTCAAAGGGTGGAGCTGCAGAAGTCGTCATACCGTTATCCTGGGGCAGCTTGACTTCTGGGGCTCCGGTGCAAGACACCCGGGCGAAGCCCAAGGGGCTGCGAGCTCAAGCACATATGGCCCAAGGTGTAGCATGTAGCGTCGCTGAAGCCGGCCCGCTTTTGCATATTCCTCAACTTGAGTAACAAGGGAAAAGTCGTCAACTGGCAACCAACATCGGCAGGAGCGCGGCTTGGTCGATCGACTCGCTACCAGTGATGAGGTATCGACATCGGCTAGAATGTTGTGGCGCTTCGAAGGCTTATCAAGTTTTGGCTGCAATTATTTTGCTGAACTTGCATCTCGATGCTCTGTCTTTGCCTTCTTTCGCTCTGTCCCCCTCTCTCTCTCTCTCTGCATCTCCTACGTCTCGCTTATTTTTTCTCGATCTCTGTCGTTCGTCTCCCAGTCTCTCCTCTCTTTTCTTCTCACTGTCTTTGGTTGTTTCTCTCTCACTCACTCTCTCTCGCTCTTTCATTGCTCTCCTTCTCTCTCTGTCTCTCTTTCGACACTTTTTCTCTTTAACTCCCTGCCTGGACCCTCCTCCCCATCTCTGTCTCTCTCCCTCTCTCTCGCTCTCACTGTTTCGCTTTCATATGATTCACTTCTTTTGATTGAAGTCGCGGGATCCTGTCAGGTGCTCGAGGAGCGCATGGAGGTGTCAGATGTCATTGAGGCGGCGAAGCGTTTAGCTCCTGCAGGAACCCAATTAAATCCTCGCCAACAATCCAAGGAGGGTTTCGGGAGTATATCTGCAACGCGACACGAACAGAGCTGCTCCAATCCAGGGCTCTGCGGGAGCAATGGCTTGACGCTTCGGAAGCTAAGTGTCTATCTATCTATCAATCGATCGATCTAGCTACCTACCTGCATACCTACCTGCCTGCCTGCCTGCCTGCCTGCCTACCTACCCACCTACCTAGCTGAACCTTCCTATCTGTCTATCTTTGTATCTATCTACCCATTCATCTATCCATCCATCTTTCCATCCATCTATCTCCGTCCATCCATCCATCCATCCATCCATCCATCCATCCATCCATCCATCCATGAGATGTATTGGATGTAAAAGTACGTGATGCAAATGTGGTGGGTCGGTGGGCGGGCTGGCTGGGTGGGTGGTTGGGCGGTTGGCTGGTTGGGTGGTTGGGCTTTTGGGTGGGTGTCTGGGTGGGTGTTTGGGCAGGTGTCTGGGTGGGTGGCTAGTTGGGTGGCTGGGTGGATGGCTGCTGGGTGGATCGATGGATGGATGCGTAGCAGTCGGAATTTTTTCGCACGGAATGCCTCGAGAGCGTTTTAATGCAGTGCGGCTCGAAAGTTGCAATGTGAGTGAAGAGCACTGGTCTTGCTAAATGATTGCTTGGCTGCGTGTTTGTATCGCATGTGTCGCTCACGTGTCCTGCGGCGGCGCCAAGCTCTCACTGTTGGTTATCATCTGAGTTGCTGCTGTCCTCATGCAGGTGTCCCTCGCGGAGAAGAAGAGGGTCTTGCCGCGATGTTTTACTCAATGCAGAAGTGGGAGATGCTCATTGGCCAGAGAAGTTGTATGTTGACTTGGCAAGTTGCGTTGGCCTTGGAGCTTCATGGGAGTGCCGAGATTCGTTAAGTACTGCAGCAAGACATCACTGGGCAGTCGACCGGCTGAACTGGGTTCCCTTATCCACCTATGCATGCCCTGAACGGTCGCCAAGAAACCGAGTGTAGCCAGGGGCTGCGCGAGCTTCTGGAAGGCCTGGGCGACATCCATCCCCAGCTTGTCTCAGCTCGCAGTGGCTACTGTTCTGGCTGTTCTGGTCGTTGCTTGTAATACTGTTGCCACTTCTTTGCCGGCATTGCTGTTCTTAGGGTCTCCGGTGTGATTTCAACGTCCTGCCCGGACTGCTGACAGGAAAGATGGAGGCAGCAGAAAGCCTTGTCACGGACTGCTGGGAGCAGCTTTGCAGGCACGAAGTGCGCTCGCCGGAGCTTTCCTGGGCAGAACGCCTTAATCGAAATCCTTGCCACCCTAAAGCCTGTAAAGCCCTCAGCCAAGGCGTGCGACCAGTTTGGGACGTCGAGGTGCAGTGGAGCTCAAAGACCCGCAGTTCTGAGTGCCGCTGCTTCGGGGCTTCGGTTCAGGGGTGGGTTTGCCGTTCGCAGTACCGTTGTTCGGACGGGCGATGTTTTCCTGTGCAGTGACGATTGCTGCCACAGACAGCGAGGTTCCTGGATGAGTGGTAGTTGTACGTTTGCGGAGATTGGTTAGATGGCCGCGGGCCAATGCATTGAGCACCGACTTGACCAACCGGCATCACGTGTTGTGAAGTCTACACCTTTCGGTCCTTGTGCGCAATCTGCTTGCCCCGTACAGACTGGCGTAGCCACCCAGCTTGTTGATATGGGCGGGGAAAGATCAGGGGAGGGGTGATTGTGCCACGAAGGCATCGCTTGCCTGGGAAGTCATTGGCCGTGCGGCGGAGAGACTGAAAAGACCGTTGCACGTCACTACCTTCTGTGCACACCGCAAGCTAGGCCACCACATCTCCTCGCACTCAGCAAGTCTAGCATCATCGTCGATAGAAGTCAGACAAACAAGACAACTCAGGCACCACCATTGAATGAATACCCACACGAGGCTAGTCAGGCCTCTTCATGTGCAGATGATGATGCTGGTAGAAAAGTTGTGGCACGGCGACATGTCACGCAGACGATGTCGTCCTAGCGGAGCAACGGCCGCAGTGGCCAGAATCAAACGCTCGCGGGCTGGCACCTGTGCATACGACCGCAGGATGCGTGCAACCCAACAGGCCATAAGCTGCAAAGCCGAGAAAGACACAGCTTTCAGATGCTCTTCGAGCAACGAAAGGCTGCTACCCAAGCCTTCGGAGTAAATCTAGTGAGCAGACGCGCTCCGGCAGACTGCACGAGGCTTTGCGGCCGTCGTTGGCGTCGTGATAAGGACAAACGCGAAAATGCAGATGGACTGGAGGGTCACAACAGCATGTCGCACAGCAAGAACGGAATCGTTTCACAAGCTGTTCTATGAAAACCAATAAGCTGATCCCCTAAACCCGGCAGCAACACGAACAACAACAACAGCAGCAGCAGCAACAGCAGAAACAGCAACAACAGCAACAAGCAGCAACAGCAACAACATCAACCAGCAGCAACAGCAGCAACAGCAGCAGCAACCGCAGCAGCAGCAGCAGCAGCAGCAGCAGCAGCAACGGCAGCAGCAACGGCNNCAGCAACGGCAAGAGCAGCAACAGCAGCAGCAGCAGCAGCAGCAGCGGCAGCAGCAGCAGCAGCAGCAGCAACAGCAGCAGCAGCAGCAGCAGCAACAGCACCAGCACCAGCACCAGCAGCAACAGCAGCAACAGCAACAACATCAACCAGCAGCAACAGCAGCAACAGCAGCAGCAGCCGCAGCAGCAGCAGCAGCAGCAGCAGCAACGGCAGCAGCAACGGCAGCAGCAACGGCAAGAGCAGCAACAGCAACAGCAACAGCAACAGCAACAGCA